ATAGTTTTTAATTAAAATTCCTGTATTTCACTGTGAAATATGAGATGTCCAAGTGTTAAACGAATTTCTTTTCAGTGTCCATAAACAGAAGCAGATTTCACAAATACCTGGGGGAACTGGAGGCCTTTCGTCTAATATGCCGGTGCATACAGCGGTGATGATGTCTTCCTGGGGACTCGTCTTCGGTCAGTTTTACATGATATTTCATGGGTAAGTTAAATTTAATATTACCTTTGACATTTATACACTAGTTAAGTATTTATAAATAAACATTGAAGATTTAATATTTCTGTCTCTTTATTTTATTAGGAAAAAGGAGTTTTAGAGAGGAATTAGAAGGAAACATTTTACATGTCCTTCCTCCTTCGTTACTTGCTACCGACTCTTTTGTTTCATCAAAAAATTCCGATTTCAATTTTCCCATCAAGTTAGATGAAAAATGAAATTAGCCAATCAAAATTTTGACAGTTTAGTTACATTATTGAAATTTGATTATTGGATTTATAAAGGTGAGTTTATTTAAACGGCTTATTTTATAATTTCGATGATAATTTATTGTTCATTAATTAATATGTTATTTTGTAATCCATGTTATAATTTTTTTTATAAATTTACATTTAAAAAATTATAATTTTCATTTGGTAACACTCTCACTACATTTAGTTACTTTAGATCTTGTCAAATTTACCACTATACAGGGTGTAGTCTAAATACTTAGATGAAACTTTTTAATTTTATTTCTTTAAAGACTTTTAATCATTAACTTGATATTCTTGGGATTTCGTGTTTCATTATAGTATATATTTTTTACATGTATTTGGTGTTAATTTTTACCTATAAGCATTTAGAACGTTCTCAGAGTATGAGCTTCATGCTGGGTATATGACTTTTAGTATATTCTAAGAGTGTCCTGTTATAGCACATGCTTAAGGCACTTACTTAATATATACTTTTTAGAATATACTTTAAAAGTATATGTTAGATATGTTCTAAGAACATTCGAGAAAGGACATACCAAAAAGAACATAAACAAAACGTTCTTAGTATATTCCTAAAACATTGATATTATGTGGGTTTACAAACATCGTAAGGACGTACCATTTATGTCAGACACATAGAAACATACATATCACCTAAATGGAAGTTTTCCATATGGTTCCAACTTAAGTAGACACTGTATGACAAACACTTACAAAAATAAAAGTACGGTTGTGTATATTATTTTGCCGAACAAATTTTGCTATATAATAGACAAATTATGGAGGTTAAAGAGTGTAGCTGCATCTACGAAGGAATGGATTAACTAAAATTCAAATTTAAATCATGTTATCGCATATCGGAAGTGCTGTGGCGTCCTTAAGTCTGATAAGGTTTGATGTAAAAAATAAACAAATTAATTGAGAATGGTAAAGAATATAAAAATAATAATTCTGCCATACTTATAGACTCCTTCTACAGCTCGCCCTGTAGAGCTGCAAACTTGGGGTCAAAGTTACCATTAATGACCTTTAAAATAAAACACCAAAGTTAGAACATATACTGACATCACTTAAAATCAATATAAAAAAAATTATTTGTCCTCTGTATAACTTTAATCCAGTAACTTTGAATCGTTTACAATAATTGTAAGACTTCATACATAATCCTGATATCATAAATATACATTTACTATTAAACTGACATGTTTTATTTTAACTTAATATCACCAAAGCAATCCACTTTGATACAAAGTCTTTTACTTCTATAGAAAAGAATGTACAGCATAGGTTTTATATAGTGGAAATATTTTAATATTCTAGACCGCCTCGTCATATTTTAAAGATGTAAAGTTATGCTTTACTTTTTGGTTGCGAATGTGTTTACATGGAAAATGCGAAATATTCTTGACACATAGAATACAGTTTCATGCTAGGTACAAGGATGCTTTAGTAAAGAGAAAGGATAATTTCCTGACCGTAGTAGAATGTGTTAAAAATAATCAAAATTTTAAACTTACAGCTATATTGAATTAGTTCTTTGGTAAAAGTTGCCTGAGTGATACAAATTTACTTTCGTCTTTTTAGATAGTGAGATCCAGAACTATTTAAAATGTGTTGTGGAGCCATTTTTTTGCAGTTAATTGAGGGGTTATAAAAAAATAAATATCAGATAGAAATTAGACTTAAATTTGTTTGCAAGTAAATTTCTTAGATATAATAATTCCTGTAAAAATTGTCTTTTATAATATAATAATTTAATTTCATACAAAAGATACAAAAAAGCAATACTTAATATTAAAATAAAATAGACTAAAATTGTCAGGTAGATAAATATACCGAGTCAATACAAGTTTAAGAAATATGAATGAAAATCACGAATTTGAAAAAGTTTTAGATAAGGATACCTATTAACATTTTCTAATTACTATAACTAAAAGTACCATATTATTGCTTTAAACATAACAAAATTATTTGAATGACATTTTTAATATATTTAATATCCTGCATATTCATTTAACCTACCAAATGAACTCTGCAACTTCCAGTGAGGTAAACTTAAAAAAAGACAATTTGAAGAGGCGCCAATTGAGTTCAAATAATAGCCAAACAATACTTATGTTTCCTCATAAACACAGTAAATGAGGAAAATAACTTATGTTCCTCTGTAATAAATGAATAAATAAAATATTTGCAATATTAAACGCCTAAATTAATATGGAAGAAACTAATATATACCCAATATGTTTGTCATCGAATAAATTAAAAATGTTTAACACTTAACCTAACAAAGTTATTGTTCAGGAACTTCACCAAAAAGATTTATCGTAAATTCATAATTAAATAAACTCTAGATAGAGTAAGGAATAAAATCGTATATCTAATATGCATAAACTCAAAGATATTAGTAAATTTATCAATGAATGGAATAATAAGTCGTTAGCACTGGTACCAAGGCAAGGAACGAAAACCTCAAGATGTCAAGTAAAATAATACATGACCCATTAATAGTATATTACATTAAGAGTGTGGAAAGTGACATTTTTCACACGAGTGCGAAATATAGTCGCACGAGGCACAAGCCGAGTGCGGCTACCATACGAGTGTGGAAAATCAGTTTTCACACAAGTGATGTTTAATATTTTTTCTACAACCACAATATAATTTCATCAAAAAATGTAAAAACAGGTTATTAATATAATAATTAAAATGTTTTAAAAAATAATCAACAATAATCGTATTTATTCAATTTTCACATTTTTAAAATAAAACAAAACTAAAAAACAAAAAAAAAAAAATAAGAAAAACAAAAAAAAATCTGCCCCCGCAAGGATTTGAACTCGGTCGCTCGCCAGGTCTCAAATGGCAAAGTTGATGAAGTTTGATACTTTACAACCAGAGCTAATAGGCCTTGCGTCAATTGAATGATCTAATCGGTTATGTGTTTAACCAGAATAAAAAACAAATATAAGTTAGTTATTTTAAAATTATTTTAATATTAATTGTTAAACATAAATATCTAGGATCTAATTTACAATAATTTCAATAATTTAACAATCATATCGATTTTAGTATTAATATGGACATTACATAGATCAAAATAGAAATGACGCGTTTGACATTTTGTGACAGCTGATGCGGAATGTAGCATATTCGCACACGGGTGGAAAGTAAATTCTTATTCATACGCGTGGGACTATATAGTGTGATATGTGTCACTTTTCTAAATGGTCGTAGGACTACTATTTTCGTCCTTTTTACCATGCCACAGTATAACCATAAAGGAAATAAACAAAAGTTAAATATATTCTAAGAACATTCATCAAAAATATAGTATTCATAATTTTACAAAATAGTGGGCATAATGCTTGTATCCATATTAAATTTTCGACAAAAAAACCTGAAGTTATGGTGTCATTAATAACGACATCACCATAACCGTTTTCCTATTTAGATAATAATATTAATAATAATAATAATAATAATAATAAACAACCAGCGAAATAGTAGAGCAGGTAGCTAATAACCCAAAAGACTACGAATATATGGACCAGTGTTCTGGTAAACCGGTTTACTTTATTCCCTCTGGTGAATCCTTTATCGAAAAAGGCTCAATTGGTAATTTTCCAAGCTTCAAAAAATGCGAAAATCCAACAGCATATTCTTGAAGAATTCATTTACAAGGCAATAAAAACGATGGACCTCCAATTTGATGTCGACACAAACACCATATGCGGGTAAGAAATGGGTTAAAACTACACCAAAAATTCTCAGATTTCCCCGACTTCAAAAAACTCATATTTTCACAATCTTTATTTATAGAAAATCTAAAAAAAACCTACATAGAAAGAGTTTATGGTCACAATAATAAGGCTTTTGTCTTCAACGACAATCAAGTAATCATACATTTTCAACTCTAGAAAAGCAAGCTTGTAACGATGTTCCCCAGTAACACCGTTATTTTGGTTCAGCATGCAGCTGTTTCTGTCAAGCAGAGACAAGTATATAAAGAGTTCCGAATTTAATTCTAGTCAGTCAAACTAAGGTATTGACTTGGCAAGACTCTCCTCTCCTGCTCCTGCAGATGTATTGACTCTGTAGGCTTCTTGACGTCCCTCTCTCACGAAGGTACTGACTTAGAGGGACTTCCATCACAGCAAAAGCTCTTGTCTCATCTTCGCCACACCATCCTGGACCACTAAGCCACACCGAACCGACGTACAAAATCTATGTTAGGGAACAACATTTGAAGACACGACGAATTGATATTTAGCCAGAACCTTTTGATATACATATTGTAAATATTGTTATCTGTATATAAATTGTTATAATAAAGTTTTATTTCCAAAGAACTCTTTCTCCGACTGTCTAAAATCTACCCGCTACTCAAACAAACCCCAGGAGGGGTTATAGATGGTGCCCGCGCAGTAAGGAAATAACAAAGAAAATTAAGACCATCTGCGGCAAGCACACAAGAACCTTACAAGTACACATACAAAGTGCGCCCAATAACAGTAGGAAAAAATGCCAGGAGACGAAGAGAACTTCACAAAAGTAGATTGGATCTACAAACTAAAAATAGAAGAATTAATAACATATTTAAGCGATCGGAAAGCTCCTACAGAAGGAACGGTGGAAGAACTAAAGACAAGACTGCTAAACATAACCAAAACGATAGAGGCAAGGGACCCAGAAAACTCCACTAATAAAACGGCAACAAACACGAACATTAACAACAAAAAATGCAAACACATAGAGATAATCAGAAAATGTGGACTCAATTACGACGGGTCCAGAGATCCCATAGACATTCTGGAACAGATAAAAGAACTCCAAACGGCGAACGAGATACAGGACAGCCAATTGCTACAAGTACTTTCCGAAACGTTGAAAGGCAAAGCAATTCTATGGTACCGGAACAATAACAGATACTGGGATATCTGGGACGATTTCATAAAAGATTTTACAAATTTCTTCACAACATCCTACAATGTTGAAAAGTCATATCCGGAATCGTATAAAAAAAATTCAGTGAAAATACAAGACTACGTGATAGAAATACAAACACTCGTCCGTAGGCACAAAAATTTCGACTTCCAAGAGGTACTGAACAGGATATATACCAATATGAGACCAGAATACAAGTTATACATAAAAAGCCGAGACGTCTCGTCAGTCGGAGAATTTATCAAACAGGCCCCACAAATAATATAAAATTTGGATAAAAAGACATGTTACAGAAAGTGCGGTCTAGCCCCGTCCTCTTCTGCAGCTACTGTGGGACACTAGTTATACTATCAAAGAACTGCACATGCCGAATACAGTCGAAAAACCAGAGTATGGCCGGGTCCAGATGAGACAACCCAGTCGTTATAAGCATCGTTATAAGCTAACCAGAAAGCTTTGCGTTGCCGACTATGTTCGAAAAGCATCCTTACTGAACCAATTAATCACCGGTAGATATCAGAGACCATTTTTAAAAGACAACCTAACACATAACAAAAAAACGACAAAACCATACCTATGTAAAATAAAACAATACTGAGAATTGATCTCCTGACAATAGTCAATAACCATGTGACTACGACAGAACTACACTTAACAAGTAACCCTCTTCCCCTCACCCCGTACAGCGAATCTTACCATTCAAACAGAACGCGAGACGTCAAATAAGCCTAACCCACCTAATGCGAAGTCAACATTAGCTGACATTTGGAACAGAAATTAAATGACAAATATCTGTGTCAAACGTCTTGTAAAGTAACTTTTATGTCTGCTGGTTTTCTAACCTTTAAACAAAACCTTGTTAACTACAAGAGATTGGATAATATAAATGATTAATAAATCAAAATAAGAGATGAACACGTATGCGATTCTGTTTGAGAAATTGATCTGGAGAAAAGTTTATTTTTATACCTGAAAAATAACTCGCGATTCTATCAAATACGATCTCTGTAAAACAATCTTTAAAGTATTTTATTTTCCAGGAACTATTGTACAAATACTCGTCTATTGAGAAGGTAAATCAAAATATTACACAACAGTCCGTCAGACAGAGAATTTTGTCAATAAATAATACTATTTTACAACAAATAATCACTTCAGAAGCTTATATCAGCACTAAAGAAGGATTTTCCTTTTTTCCGTTCATTTAGACAAGGTAAGTCGCATTAAAAATCGAGTATTTCAAACTGCCAAATGTGCACCTTACATTCAGATCACGTTATAATATGATAATATAATATAATATTGACGTAATGTTACAGTTTTGCTTTCACGAACTCTATATTTAAATTTCGAGATAACAAATCTATTTAATTTCTGAAATATGTGCCGCACCCTGTATACTGTAGTGGTATTCAAATTCACAAAATAAATTAAATAATAGCAATGGTTATTTAAATAAAAATAAAAGTTCTTTGTTTTGGGATAGCATTATTACCTGTATTATTAATTATTTTAAAATATTTTATTTTGTTCAATTAATTGTGAATTGAATAAATATCAATTAAAAATAAAATACAATTGCATATTATATATATTTATACAAAATACAAAAAACATTTATGTTTATTATAGTATTTAGATGCTCTATTATTTCCAGTTCAAATAACTGATAAATTTTTCATTATTGTGAATATATACAATAATTTTCGGATGAAGCTTTTGTGTTTGTTAGTTATATAAATTTACAAGAAATCCCAATAAAAATAAATAATTATCTTTCAAATATTTTTCCAGTTATTTACAATAAACAAATTAACGTTCTATGCAAAAAAACAAAGGAATTTTATTAACAGCTTGCAAAAATATCGCATAAACTGATAAATCTTATCTTTTAATAGTTTTAAGACAGAAATTGTCAACGAAGTAAAATATTTTTGAACAACTTATTTTAATTCAAGGATAAACTAGGTCCACCATTTACAGGCTAATGCAGATACAGCAAGTAAAAGGGAATATCCTGATATATTCATATCCATATACAAATTTAAAATAAATTTTCAAATTCAAATACTAGTTCAAGAATCCTGGAAAGAGGGACCTCCCATACAGGCTGAACTAGTCAGGTACACAGACTTTAGAAACCAAGAAAGGAGTCAGTGCTGGAATCTATAAATCTAAGTCTAGGAGAATACGCAACAGTGTTTCAGACTCAAGTAAAGCAATGGATGCAAAAATGTGATAAAAATCTTATTAATGAACCGCTGTACTGGTGGCCAAGATCCTAAAAGACCTACTGGATCAAAAACAATAAATCATTAGGATAACAGCAGCTCTTCTTACCGGATACTGTCGCCTAAGATGGAACATGAGTATCATCAATTCTGCAGAAGAAGCAATATTGTGTAATTGTGATTTTTATAAGCTATTCAGCACTGGTTACTGATTTTGTTAGTTCAGAAACTATACTGATTCTGAATGATTGGTTAAATTACTAATTGGTATTAACATCCAGGTATATTTTGGAAGATGAGATTTTCGTCAATTATTAGATGATATTTTTATATCAGCTTTTGGAATTAGTATGTTTCTAAAGAGATTAAAAATAAAAAAGTATATTATTTGCTCTTTTTTCTATTAGTTTTTTTTTTAATACTTAATCTTACAGGGAAAATATTTTCGTGTGTTTGAAGGCACAAAGTTTAAAAGTAACGCCAATCAATTTTTTATAAAATTACGTTTTTATTGAAGTGATGGGGATGGCTGTCACATAGAAGGGAAAAAAGATGAAGCAGATTAAAATAAAAATTGATGTAAATTAGCACATAGTTTTGGTATCTAAATGATTGATTTTATGTTGTCAACAGAAGAGATAATTTTTTTATTAAATACAATACTTAATGAAAATATATCGTTATTTATGTCTTTTGAATAAAAAAAAAATGGATTAATACGAATTAAGCCGACGATATATCTTTTATCTAAATTGTTATAAACTTATATGTGATACTGTTGGACAAGCTCCTATACCTTTCACTTGGTACTTGACAGGTGTCAATTTTAACATTAATTTTAGTTGTGTTTGAGTGGTATTTTGTAGATAAATACAAGTTTATAATTATTCTATCTAGTTTGTATATAAGTTATTACCCTAAAGACTAAAACATGAAACAACAACTTTTAATAATTTTCATAGTTTTGAACAAAACAAGCCCCAAACATTACAGATATTATTTTTCAAGGGACTTTATATAGTTAACAATTTAACAGGTAGGGAAAATTGATTATGCAATATTAAAAGTTTATGAACTTAATATGATGTTGGTAATTTTACTAAATGTGTATTATAAAAAAATGCGTTGATTTTTTTATTTAATAATAAAATATATTAACCAGAAAATTATACAATTTTATTTATTGTTTTTTCTTTAATTCATGTTTTATTGAATACTATTGGAATTTCTATTTACAATAAATGGACAACATATATTTATAATTTATTATAACATAACCACCTCGATTATAGTTATTTAAAATTGGGTAATATTTTGCCATCTAATGAAATATCAAGAGTATAACTCAATAATTTATTGAATATTTTCTGTTGAAATAAAACATTTTTTTTTATTTATTTATTAATTTACAAGTGGTGTGGACAATTTTAATTTAATTTAATTTTGTAATCAAAGTTACCATAATTATTAAAAACCCCTGATAAAGTTAAAAATATATTGCTCGAGGGCTTAGGAGTTCGAGGGCTTTTTCCTTTTACGGTTTCTCATTAACGTTTGTACCGATGTAACTTGAAATATATTGGATCGTCCTATTAAAATATATCATTTTTTTCTACCTCAAAGGTTTTTATAATTATATCAATTTTGTCATTAATCTATAATTAAAATGCCGCAATTAGTAATACTTGAAAGAGATTTGCTCTTTATATATCAGTACAATCAAAACAAAGGCCTGATTTTTTATTTTTAACTAAAAGAAAATATGGCCCTGCCACATTAAGAGCTTCTTGGATTTTTTCTTACTGTTTTGCTTTTTTGTTTTATTAGTTATTTCTTCTTCTTTGTCTGCATTTATAGAGTTATTTGTCATTTAATTCTGTTGCAAGTATCTCATCTATATTTCACAAAAAATATATTAGACGTTCTGAAATAAGCGTAAAATAAATTTTATAAATAATCTTAACAAATTTAATAATTTTAATTTAATTTTAATTATTAAAGAGTATCCATAGCGCGCGAACGTATCCTACTATCAGTTCATAGTTCAGCATAAGTCTAAAGCAACCCATAGGGGGACTAAATAAAACCTCGCCACTTCATATTCATCTCTTAGCTGGTTCGCTACAGGAGGGTCTGTGCACCGCTTGGATCGCTTGCGCTCATTGTCTTAACTCACCGCGGCTGTCTAAAAAGTACCGCAAAGACACGTAGTGTTTGGGCTGCATTTTTGCAAGATCGGCAAGCTGTGTTTATGTTTATAGTCTGTAGCATGAATAGCTGGTAAGTTTATCTACTTTGATATATGTGTTTGAGCTCAATTTATAGTGCGTGAGTTAGCATAAATGACATTTGAGTAAGAGGTGATTGTGTCTGAACCACATACTTTGATTTTCTTTTACTATACGGAGAATGGTCGCACTGCGCAGCTTTCTGAGTGCCTTTTTAAAGGAGATAGAAAACTCCGCCATTTTGAACCCTTATTACGTGTTGCCTACATCTTGGCGCAATATTTTTAATTGGTGCGTTTTATCATCCGCTTCTGCTTCGGAATTGTCAGTTTTCTTGTTTTAATCTGACAGGTAATCTGACTAAACCGACAATTCCGGAAGCAGAAGCGGATGATTATAACGCACCTGATATTTTGCTTGCTGCTGTCAGTGTCAGTGAATATTATTTTTGAAGTCACAGTTTATTGCTAAAGAATCAGTTAGATCACTCGGACCAGTTGAAAGTTCCAAAATAATATCCACTTCAGGGATACAAATTCAGGATACGCAGAAGACTGCTGTTTTATTATAGGCGTTGTTATATATTGTATTATCCGAGTAGCACAGTGTATAAACTGAAACATTGAAATCGAAAGTGCCGACGCAGAGTGAGCGATCTGATTCTTTAGCTGTAAACTGTGTCACAGGGTTCAAAATGGCCGCGCCCTATGTTGGGCGTGTCAGACCTCTCTCTTGCCTCGTATAGCAATCAAAGTATGTGGTCTGAACTAACGAAATAATAGTTCTAACCGTTACAAGTCTGTTGCGT